ATTGCTTTCCTGTCAATTCCTAACATTTCACCTGCTTTTTTTTTTCCACAGCTTTTGAACACTGAACTGATATTTTTGGGGTACTGTATCTCATAACTCTAAAATTTGAGTCCTGAATGGTCACGGTAAGCTCAGAGCCCATCAATCCACATGCAAAGATTGGATTATTTTCCCCTGGCTATTCTACGTTACATTTATTCCCACCCAAGTTCATCTGCCATTTTATTGTGCTCCCTCTGCTTCTTACAGTCCTTGGGCAGTACTTCACAGTGGGCTCACAGCACTGACACTCTAAATAATTCAGTCTTCTCAGCAAATCTTGTCGCCCTATTGTTCACCCTTTTCCATGTCACACTAGCATATCCTACCTTTATCCTCTTATTCCATGCCTGTTTAGTTTCCTTAAAAGCTTTTGGTCAGGAACTTTGTCAAATGCCTTTTGGAAATCGTAGACTATGTCAACTGGATCATGTTTGCACACATGCTTGTCGACCTTCTCCTTTGAGGAACTCCAGAGATTTCTGAGAAGTGGGATTTTCTTCACAAAAGTGATCTTGAATCCCCCCACGTATATGATATTTATATATCCATCCCAACACGTCACTGCTACTGCGTTTTATGGCAGTTTGCTTGGTGTGCACGTTGGACTGGCAGGCCTGGCTGCCCAGCTCTCCCCAGCACCCCTCTAAAGGATTGTCGCTGCATTTGTCACTCAGCTTCCAGCCTGACACAGAGCAAAGGGTTACACACCACCGTCCCGATGCGAGCGTTCACCTCCCAGCCCCTCCACAGCTTGTGGGTCATCGTTACCCAGCTCCGGCGGTGAGTCAGTGTCCGCAGGTCAGCAGTAACCCCGACATTCTCTTCCATTTCAGAGGTGCTCTCTGATGATTCCCTCCACAAAGTCAGATTTCATTGTGGGAGCGTCCCTGGTTTCTCCCATGATGAACGCTGGATGCAGAAACACTGTATTTTGGTTGTTAGCAATGGCCTTATCTCGGCTGCGCATTCCTTTCACACCTTGATCATCTGTTGGCCTCACAGGCTCCTTGCTCTGATGTGAAGAACAATTTACTGTCGGGTTTGATTCCTCTGCAAAATGCCCCTTGAACTCTTTTTAGCCTCATTTCTGCACTTTCATATTTACTCTGCCAGAGCTCACTATCCTTTCTGCTTTCTTCATTTGCACGCACTCACCAGGTTTGGCAGGACCCCCTCTCGCTTTTCGCAGCTTCCCTGACCCTGCTCTGCCCCGCAGCCTCCCCGTCTGCTGCAGTCCTGCCGAGCCGCCCTCTCCCCTCCCCAGGACAGGACGAGACCCGGCTCCCTCTGCCCAGCGTCTGCATCCCCATCCTGCAGAAGGGCAAGAGAACTGCCCCAAAGCCCAAAGACAAACCCTTCCCATTTAAGGTGGAGCTAAATGAGCAGAAAAAGTACATGCTGTGATGTTCCTGATAATCCACACAACTCAGGTAGAATTTAAATTGTGGGATGATAGAGGACTCATAAATTTTCAAAGAAAATTACTTAATGAGAACTGGCTTAATAAAATGTGTAAAATAGGAAAGGTGGCAACAGACAGAAAGAAAAGTTATGTATGGTTACATACAAAACTGCTTACCAGAAAGGGCTGCAGAAATATGATTCCGCATTTAAAGAAATGGTACTGTGCACGCATGAGCTATGAGCAAAAGTGCAGCTGGAAGAGGAAAGCTAAATTTAAACGTCTAACATTCAAATATCAAAAGAAATACTGAGCCCAGTCCCCAGAAAGCAGGTGAAGGGACATCTCTCGTGACGGACTGCTAAAACATGGGGTCAATCCTCCCACCAAAAGGCAATTATTCTGTGATTCTGCGGTACGGGGACTGCGTATAACGACAGAGGGTATGGAACGTAAGCTTTGCCAGGTAGAAGAGCTATTCAGATAAACTTCTGTTTTCAGGGAAAGGGAGGAGAACAACTTCCCAGGATCTCTCTCATTCTTTGACCAAATGTATGAAACAAAAGTAGGGAGGACACATTTAGAAAGAGATTAAAATATTTCTGAATTTTGAAAAAACCCAATATTTCGGGGAATCAAACAGGTGTATTTGGAAGACAGACATTAAAGCCATATCTTTAGACAGAAAATGAAGTAGAAATGTGTGCTGATGTTATCACAGCTTGCCTTTTATCTGCAGGTTTTGTATTTAATTTGAGAAAAAAAATAATATAAAAGGTTAATTACTATGTACAAGACTGAATTTCTGGGACATGTAAAACCATAATTATATCACACAAGGTTAAAAAAAGATAAAATGCTTAATCACATTTTAATTTCCATCTGTGTTTTATTTTAGTAGATCCTATCGAACTCAAAGGCCTTCAAACTACTTCTGTCTTTCTCTTCAGACCTTACAGCACTGAAAAGCCACAGGAAAACTAAAGAAAGGACAGAGTAAGTCTTCTACCTGTATTTGTGAAACGTGAGGACAAATCTTCATGTTACAGTCATACCTGAATCACCTACTAAACGGAATTGTGTCCTATTGTCTATTAAACTTGAAAATTTTGCTTGTTTTGCCAGTCTCTTTTATTCTTCTATCAAAGTTCCAATTGCTATAGCATTTAGCACTTAAGAATATTAAAGAATGCTTTTGTATAAGAGTCTCCTTCAGAGGTGGAACATTCGTGCCCAAATAGTTCATCCTGCACTGAAACTTGACATGAAATTGTTCCTCCAGGAATCAAAAATTTTAAAACCAGTGGTGTCTAGCTTTGAGTTACACCATACTTAAAAAATAAACCTAAAGTTCCTGGTTTATAAATTCTCTGAGTTGTTAAAAAAAAAAAAAAGTTGCTTATCTATCTATCTCTCTATCTTTTTTTTTTTTTTTAATATTAATAGAAGTTTTACTTAGGTTACACGATGTTCGTAATAACTATAAACGCTCCTGCTCAAAATGTTTAGGTTTCTTTCAGAGCAGGCAATGGTGGTCCTTGACATTGTGTTCCTCCCATCAGGGTTCTTGGCAATGGGTGTAGAACTGACCCAGCCTACTGCGTGGTGTCACAGATTCACAGGATGGTTTGGGTGGGAAGGGACCTCAAAGCCCCCCCACTGCCACCCCCTGCCCTGGGCAGGGACACCTCCCACCACACCAGGCTGCTCCAAGCCCCCTCCAACCTGCCCTTCAACCCCTCCAGGGATGGGGCAGCCACAGCTTCTCGGGCCAACCTGGGCCAGGCTCTCACCACCCTCACACCAAACAAGTTCTTCCCCACAGCTCAGCTCCATCTCCCCTCTTTCAGGGTCAAACCCTTCCCCCTCCTCCTGTTGCCACCTGCCCTGGTGTAAAGCCTCTCTCCACTTACTAACTTTCACCAGCACTAACAACAGCTTTGTGCAGGCTGTCAAGAGCAGAACAGTTTCTAACCGCTTCAAAATGCATTGAGGAGAGCTGAAGAAATATTTTTAAGACAGGAGATCATGCACTGAAAGGTGTTTCCATCACAGTGCTGTTTAAATGATAAACGTTCTGAGAAAAGAAGTCTCAGCCAAATGAAGTCCATGACCTTCCCTCCCACCTACTCTTGGGAGCAGAGGACACCCTGTATCTGGATGCCCTTTAACTCTCCTCAGTAACCTTACAGTACCTGAACATTTTTGGTATTTCCATACCTGGTTTTGTGCCAAAGTCACTCATTCCTTTATTCAAGACAACTTTGAATGCTCAGTAAAATCTAACAGCAGAAAGCGTGTATTTCATGGGGCCTCCATCTCCCTGTAAAATAAATGGAATCCCTTCCCGCTGCTCCACCACCTGAAAGAAGTGTCTGGTGGGAAATAAACTGAACGTTCAGCCTGTTGGGAGAGGAGCTTCCAGGTCCCTCCCGGAGAGAGCCGTTTGTGTGTGAATACAGGTGCAGGATTGCTAACACCTTCGAAATGCTGCTTTGTTAGGCAGGGTAGGGTGATGACTATTTGCAGTAAATACTTTTTTCTCCCCAGCGTTTGTGACACAGAAGCAGCAGAACACAACATGAATGAGGAATTAGAGTAACTGCCAACAGGACCAGTGTCCACCCAGTCTGTAGAGCCACACTGGTGTGAGTAGAAAAAGTTGGGGTTTGATTAACAATAGTGCAGATGGAAAACATCGGTGCAGTTCTCCTGGGGTTCAGGGAACACATTGGTACGTTCCAGATGTTAAATGTTTCGACCAGTGTTCTTCTCTTAACAGTAGCGCACACAATTTTGCAACCATTCCACTACTTTACAAACTCTCTTACACTGTATATGTGATGGGCCTGTCCATAGGGATACAGAAGTGGAGAGACAATTTCATCATTATCTTTCTTCTTGCATATTCATAAATAATAGAGGACTCTACTGAAAAGAGGGCAGAAACTAAGCTAAGGCACGTGAGTACGGTTGTAGAGCTGCTTCCTTATAAGCTGATGTCAGACAAAACTTTTATTCACCTATACTTCACTAAGAAATAAATGGTACCATCCCCATCTTGTTCCTAAAGTACATTTGTAATGTAAAATGTAGCACAGTTATCAATGCTTCTAAGACCCATTCACACATTGGTTTAAACTTCTAATATTTTCATTGATGAGTATGTGATCACAGTGGAAAAAACACATCTCTGGAACTCTGGGAGCATCAGAGCATCCCTTGCCTCTGGCCAGCAGGCTTGCAGCACACCACGTCTCCAAAGTCCAACCTCCCTACACCTTCCCTTCAACACAAACAAGGGTGTTTCTCACCACCCAACTAAACCGGACAAAACTAAACCAAAGAGTGTTTACAACGCCCCGGTTTGTCTGTGAACCACTCCTCATTAAAACAGTGATACTGTTCCATAACGACTAACTACAATATCTTCATAAGCTTATACAAATATGCACCAAATAAAATTAAAGAAAACATGAGAAGATTCTGTTTGTCGTAAATTCAATGTCTGACAAAGCCAGTAACAACTGAGCTCTGTGCCGCGGGCAGTACTCACATCAGCGTAATGCCCCTTCATGTCGCAGCGATGGCAGTGTTTGTTCCAGTAGGCTCTCTCCAGGCATTCCCTGAAGTAGTGCCCGGGCAAACAGCAGTTCAAGCAGAACCGTGCTGGGCAGCTGTTCTGTAGGTGCCCTCGTCCTGCACACAGGCTGCAGGGGGGAACTTTCTGTGGGGAAATAAAAAAAGAGTTATGTCAAGTGAGAATATTTCAACAGATTAAAGGAAATGACAAAAAAATCAGAAGACGAAATGAAGAAGAAACCACCCCAAATAAGCGTCTGCTGCTTAATAGGAACTGCAGAGATTATAAATCAATAAAAGCAATGACCTTCGCAGAACAGACAGCTAACTGTAAGTAGGGATGTGGTGGGCTGGCCTTGGCTGGACACCAGGTCCCCCCACACTGCTCTGCTCCCTTCTCAGCAGGGCCGTGGTGCGGCTGCAGAAGGGTGGCCAGTGACCAGCTACCGGTGGCCAAACAGTCACTGAAGTGACGGGCACCAGCACGGGCTCTCGGGGGAAAGCACTCGGTGCCCGCCAGGAGTGACCCCGGGCAGGCTGTGCGTCGTCCCGCAGCAGCCTCCCAGGAGGTAACACACCGTGGGAGCACAAAACAGCACTAGAAACAGCCGCCTCTACTGTCAGCCGAGGCGTCGCACTTGCCTTTGGCGAGGGGCAGTTCTTGGAGAGGTGGCCCCGTCTCCCGCAGCTCCGGCAGGTGACGTTTTTGTCGGGGGTGTAGTAGCGCAGGCTGCTGTGCCGCGCACGGGCGTAGTTGGAGATCTGGGCCTGCCGAGACACGGAGACAAAAACACACTTATCGTTTGGGATTCTGTGGTTCAGGGTTCGCTAGGACTGGGAATTCATAAAGGTCCCTGCTGGCAGGTTCAGTCAGAAACCCAAGATTTTTACACATCCAGGTTTGAAGTGGATACTTGTGTTTGGGAGAAACTTTCACAGTCTACAAGAAAAATATCGTCCCATTCAAACTTCCATTTGGGGTCATTCTTTTTTTGCTGTTTAAAATTGCAGCTACGAAGCCTTGCTTTCTCTTGATTAGTCACTTTTACTCACTATGCTATTTCATGATGAACTGGAATTTTTCCCAGAACACAAACCTAACTAAGATTAATTGCAAATGCAAGTTATGCATCCCCCTGCACACATGAAGGGAACCTTCTTGGACAACGCACAATGCTACACAAGTCTAGACCAAATGTGCAATTTGCAATTGTAAAGAAAGATTTAAAAAGAAAAAGGAATAAAAACGGAAGCTGGAAACAACTCTTTCTCTCCCAGTGACCTCACACACACTTTCTGTGCAGGCAGAAAAAACTGAAAATCCTTATTGCTTAGTAAACCGCTATTTTTAAAAACTGGAATAAAATGTTGGGCAAGTGAATGGAAGAGGTACAAAAATACCGTTTCTCTTCAGGGAAAGAGTCTGTTCATGTCACCCAAGTGTGCAGCTTTACTGAGCCTTGGCAGGAGAAACCGGAGGAGCTGGACCTCGGGGCCGCAGCTCTCCTGACAGCCCAGCACCCCGTGCTCCGGGTCCCAGCCCCGCAAACGCAGAGGGCTCGCGGTGCCGCTGCTGGGAGCGGGGCTTGGCTGCCACAACACAACCAGGGGGCTCTGAGGAGACGGGGCCAGCGGAGACCCCACGGGGTCTGCGGAGCAGCTTCGGTTCCCAGCATCCGCTTCCTGTCCTGCTGGGACCTGAACCTTGTCCCACGGGGGGACACTGCTGAGGATGACCCACAAAACTACAGCTGGACTCTTCAGTCCCATTCATCTTGCTCTGATGCTAATAAACATAAAGAATTATGGAACAATTTGGTTGGTTGTGTTACCTCTAAGTCTTTATTACAGATGGACCAGTCCACATCAACTTCTCCTGAAAAACAGAAATAAAATGAATTGTACTTAATTTATATGCATATCTTTTCTATAATATATTCAACACTGTGATTACTGCACTTATTGAAACTGGTAAGAGACTCTGAATATACCAAAGCAGAGAAACTACTATCTCCAGCAGAGGAAAGCCTTCAACCCACCCGGCACTGGGCAGCTCCAACCCCCGGGGGGTTTTATTCGGCACCACCCTCTCCTCCTGCCCCGGGGTACAAATTCAGGCAAGGATTTAGCCTCTTCCAAAGCTTCCAGCCGCAGCCCCGGGAGTCACTGCTGCCCGAGGCCCCGGGGACGCGCTGCCGGAGCCCGGGGGGAGCGCAGGGACACAGAGTTAATGCACAGCATAAAATACACTTCTCCTTCTTGCGAATTGGCAAGACCTGTGTCTTCAGCACTGCTTTCTGGCTGCTGCATGCCAAAGCGGCTTTATGCATAACCACAGCATAACTGAGACTGAAATCTGAGTAACTCTATTCCAAAACAGGGCTTGGTAATGTGCAGTAAATCGGGGCGACACACTGTATTATCAGCTGTCACACCATAACCTCCTCACACACAGCCTCTGGGCTGGCAGAAGTAAAAAGAAAACATCAAAAAGGAAATAAAAGGCAATAAGCTAAAAGAACAGGGATGCAGTTACAGCTGTTTAAAAATTCTGCATGTCAACTCTGCTCGCTCCTGTGCTGCGCAGAGAGAGCTGAACCTGCACAGCATCCTTCCCATCACCACGGCAGGACCCATGTCAGCGGCGGCGCTCACCTCACCTACACTTTTACAGGAACCATTACAACTTGTGCGTAAATTAATCCTGTGTGTTCGCAGACTTTTTAATGCAAAGTGCTTCATCCTGCCCCCACTCCAAACCTAAAACACCTACACGTTATTAACACAAAACACAACACCACCCAGATTTACAAAAGTTAAAAAAACAGCAAATTCTGATTGTACTCCTCATTTCCAATAAAAGGCAGAAGACTAGAAATTAAAATTATACCCTCTATAGTATCACGTCTAACCGTCCGTTTACTGAAGAAGTCAGTGATCCCCGCGGAGGTGCCTGGTAGCAGGGACGTCTCTCGGACACACAGAGAGTGCTTCAAAGCATCGTACCCGCCTGCGGCTGCTCTCCACCCAAAGCTGGGCCACGACTCCCTGCTCTGATCTCAGCAGCACGCGGAAATGTTCCTATTCCCAGCACTCGGCTAACAGCGGGATCGCTAACGGCCGCCACACGGACCTTACACAGACCTTACTGGTGGATTCAGTGGCCTGTCTGTAAAGATGCTGGGGTGCTGTGTCCCAGCTGAGCCGTGGCTCCAACACGAGTGTCCAGGGGATCCTTTCCCCCAGGGTCCCCCCACGGGCGCAGGGCTGTGCCCTGGAGAGGGCTGACAGCAGAGGGGACAGACGGGACCGCGTCGCCTCAGCTCGCCTCGGGCAGCCCCAGGGAAAAGCAGGCCCTTTGGAGCCTGGTCGTTAAAAGTAAAGAAACGCAGTGACATATCTGAGTGCTTTATTTATTACTGGGAAGACAGTTAAGGAAATTAATTCATAAAGACATTTGTAATTCAAAACTCTGCCCTGGCAATCAGCACCGAGTGCCGCATCTCACAGAAATGGACGTGCAGAATGGCTGACAGCTTACAGACCAAAATTACCAGCAAATTAACTCCTGTTAATCATCAGGCACATCCTTCCTGAGGACAAACCAAGTTTCTCTTCTTCACTGTCAAAATCCCCTGCTTCACAGGGGAAAACCACGATACAGTGATTCAAATATTCCTCATACTAGAAACTAAAACTGCTCAAATCAGAAAATAAAACACAAGAGCTTTACTGCTGAATGAAATGTTACAACAGTAAAGAGACAGCTCTCTTTACTAAATCCATTTGGTGACCCAGAAGTTCAGTCTAACTCACAACAGAAAAGCATAAGGATTTGTTTTTCACGCAGAACACATTCTTCAGGCTGAAATACGTGGGAAGAGCTGTGCTTCTGCCGACAGCTGGAAACCCGGCTTTGGGGACGCACAAAAAACCTGCAACGATTCTTCTCATTGACCACAGCACTTTGGTGCCAAATCACGAAATAAACCACAAAACTCTGCTGGACTTGATGAATGCCTCCCCTGCCCCGCTTTTGGTTTGCTGGTTTGGGTGAAGTAACTTGCCCGGGGCCACCCCCAGCCCCCGGCGCGGCGGGCTCCTGCGAGGGCCGTTCTGGCCCCCCCGGGCTGGTGGAGGTTGTTTGTGCCACGCTCCCCCGGTCACCGGCACCCCAACCCCCCATTCCTCCCTCGGCGCTGGGATGGGGGCACTTTGGAGGAGGGTGGGTGATCTGAGGGGACCCCAGCCCTCCCGGTGCCCACACAGGATGCTCGCCCGCACACAGCCCCCGCAGAGGGAAGGAGATTTTGGTCAAAGCGCAGACACAAAAAGGGATGGGAATTGGTGAAGGTCCCCGTATTCAGCAAAGGCTGGAGCCGGCGTCTCCCAGGGCTGTGTTAGAGCTCTCCACCTGTTTCAGACACGTGTGCCCTGAGGGGGTTCTGCCCCAAGGAACGGGGCTGGGGGTGTCTTCTCTCCTCACAGCTCCTCAGGAGCAAACACACCGCTCAGTCCCTGCCAGGGCTCCCTGCTGCCTCCGCGAAGAAACCGCACTCATAAAACTTACACTGTTACAGGGTCCTGTGAGTTCTCACAGTGTATTAATAAAATCTTCCCAGAACACCTTCAACACATTTGTGCTTTTATTCTTTCTTATCTTCATTTGTTAAAAGCAATATCCTTTTTAAGATTATATTAGTTTCTATTCTTCAACTAAAAAAATGCAATTGACTTTGCCATATGAACTTCTTGTGTTTATACTTTGAAAAAACAGTTTTGTCAAATTCTAGAAGAGAGAAGAAGAGAAGGCAAAGAAGAGGCCAGAAAAAATGCCAGACAGGATGTGAAATATATACTATTGAGGAAAACTGAAGCTCTGTGCAAGGTTCTTCTTTTATAAAGTGTCACACTTTGGCTGTACTGCATCCCTGTACAATGGGATGAATGGTAAACAACAGCTTTGCCTTTATTTAAAGAAAAATTTTGAAAGATCATTGAGATTCACATGTATCCCTCCACCAGCATGAAAATGTAAATTTGGGAGCGGGGCTCATGGCGAGGGCAGATTTAGGAGCAGTGTTCAATGTGCATTCAAGCCTCCCCTCTTTCATTCCAGAAAGGGAGAGGAGGGGAGGAGGGAGGACAGGACCCGCCATCAAAACCCCAAATTGCCTGGAGGAACAATCCCTTTCCACCGAACAAAAAACTGCCTCAGAATAAACAATAAACTGTTCAGAAGGTCTCCTTATGGCCACGCCACCGGGACCCCTCGGCTGGGCACCGCCAGGCACCAGCCAGACCCCGCCAACAGCCACAGGTGTATTTCACTGGCCGCAGCGTCCCGTCCCCTCTGCGGCTTGTTCCCTGCCTCATCCCACAGCTCAGAGACATCGCAGAGCCTGGGCATTCAGCCTTGGAAATAAAACACTATTCTCCAAACGGGGAAGGCAAGTGGTGCCCCCGCCCCCCCCCCCATTGGAATATACGTGCAGACGTGTGTTTTATTTAGTTTACTTTATGATCAGTTCACTGGAAAAGGCTGCTTCAGGCTTTGATGGTACCATACGTGGCCTGAAGGGTAAATACGTTTCAAAGCTGGGCTTTAAAAATTGGATTTTGACTGCTAATTATTATAGCACATTACAGAATAGAGAACCCTAATTACATTCTACTGTAAGACCTCTGTGGCAAGGGCTGTTTCAGACATATCTCTGAATGATATTTCACATGTCAGGACTCAGCTTCTGGCTGCCACTGGAGTAGCAAGTAAGATTTAAAAATTATAAGCTTTAAAACCCTAAAAATTGTCTAGATCGGTAAGAATTTCACATTGTGCCATTTTATGTATATCTGGAAATTCCCGTTTATGTTTGAACCAAAGTGATTCAAGCCTTACTGTGATGCAATTTGGTACAGCGAGTGTCACATTTGTTGTGTTCTGGTGGCCCCTGATCCAGAACCAAGGACTGGCCATGGGAAGCGGCAACAGCCCAGCACCGTCCCGCAGAAACACAAATCCCGCAGAAACCCAGACCCCCCAGCAGCATCCTGCAGAAACCCAGATCTCCCCCCGGCCCCCGACGTTGCCAAGCACCTCCAGAAATGGGGGTTTCTGTGCGTGAGGTCGCACTGTACATCCCCCTCTTCTGGGAAGGCGCATTCCAAGTGCCCATGTGTGTGTACGTGTGTATCTATCTGTCTATCTGTGGGGGTGTGTGCCCATGTACACACAGACGTGTGTCAGCAGAGGTTTTGCAGGCAGTGATGCCTGCCCTGCACCCCCAGACGAGCCGTGACTGAGCTGGAGCCGTTCCTCCTCCCGCGGCCCGAGGTGCAGGTGAGAGGGGCTCCGGGGCCAAGGGGGGTCCTCTCCCATCCAGCCCTCTCTCTGTCAGCCACCACCCCATTCACCCCTGCACACAGGAACGGGATCGACTGATGGGTTTTTCTTAAGACACTTCCAGCAATTTTGCAACTTTGCTTTGATAAGGAAAAGGTGTTTTACTTATAAACAGTGGGTTACATGTCAGTATCTCTTTAGAGCAACTTTAAAAGAGATCCAGGAACTCCCTCAGAGAAAACAGTCGATGGAGTCATTGACAGAAGCTCAATTGGAGCAATTTTCTCATGGCAAGGGAAGACTCTCCCGCCTCTCCCCTTATATATATTAAATATATATATGCATGCAGTAATATGCATATTTTTGCCAGTGAGAAAATACCTGCAACACTTTATTTTTAGCAACCTTTATATGATGCAGCATGGTGTGTTTGAAAAGCATCACAAAACTGGAAAGACAACAGTGAACAAACAATGAATCCCAACCCGTTCTGAAATGGATTAACTTGTGTGAAGCTGACTGAAGCAAAGGCA